TCATAAAACGGGCTTTTGGTCCTCTGTCCTTGAGGGCGGCAATCCTGGTTTACTTCTATTCTCCATACACAAACCTAGTTTCTATCTACATGTTTGATGTTCCCCAAACAACCTATTAAAATCTTTTAAAATGATTACATTTACTTATTTATTGAGGGAGAGGAGAGCACTGGCAGGCCACAGTAAGTATGTGGAACTCAGATGACAAGTTGTGGGAGTTGGTTCTGGTTCTCTCCTTCCACCATGAGGGTCCTGGGGATTGAAAATTACTTCAAATGTTGCACTATCATGAACAAAAAAATTCAGAAAACAGGAAAAGCAGCCTACTCCATCACAGCTGCTACTGCTGATTCTTTTCTTTTTTAAAAAAACGACATCAAAATTGTTTAAAAATTCCCTATGGCATTTTTATTCTCCCAAACAGTAAAAGCAGTAAATAACCACCGTCTAAATAAATATAAATTGCCTGAAAGTGTTACAAAATGCTAAAGCATCTATCTTGAGACTGCAAAATTTAAATTCAAGATAGACAATAATTGTGCCAGAGGGAAACTAAGAAGGAAAAAATAATCTTTCTTCTCAGGAAGTGGTAGTTGGGATGGAGAAAAGGAAACATGGAAACGATTCACTCATTAAATAAATATTTAATTAACATTTATCATATAAATATGCCAGGTTAAGTTCTGGAGAAAGAGCAGTGACCACAGTAGATACAGACTCTTGTTCTTATTCTCCCTTACAGGCAACAGGGAAACAAATGTGTATCAATATATTGGAATCAAACATCCACATTTACTTACTAACTATACAGTAGCAGAAGAAACATTACATGAATACCACCTGCCAATTGCAATGCCCTTGAAAACTTTACCTTTCGGGCACTTACACAAATACTGGTAGAAATCATTTTGATATTGTATTATTTACTTTTCTTGTTGCTATGACAATGCCAGAAGAAAGCAATTTAAGCAAACACATGGCATGGTACCATATGTCTGTAATCCCAGCACTGAGATTGAGGTAGAGGCAGGAGGATCCCAGGTTCAAGGTCACCTTTCGCTAAAAAAGAGAATTCAAGGTCAGCTTGGGCTACAAAGACTCTCTCAAGGGCCGGGAATGGTGTCCAATGCTTTTAATCCCAGCACTGGGGAGGCAGAGGCAGGCAGATCTCTGTGGGATAGAGGCCAACCTGGTCTACATAAGTGAGTTCCAGGCCAGCTAGGGCTGCAGGGAGACCCTGTCTCAAAAAAATAAAAATAAAAAGACTATCTCAAAAAAAAAAAAAAAAAAAAAAAGGAGGGTTTATGCTGGCTCCTGGGGGATACACTTTATCCAGGTGGGGAAGGCATGGTGGTGGGAGCATGAAGTAGTTGATCACATTGTATATAGTCAGGAGGCTGACAGATGAAAGCTGGCACCCAGCTCATTTTCTCCTTTTTATCTTCTTGTTTGGTCCACACCCCCCGGCCCACGTATGGGATGGAGCTGCCCACATTCAGGGTAGATCTTCCTTCCTCAGTTAATCCTCTTGGAAACAACCTCACAAATACAACAGAGGTATGTTTCCTGGGTGATCTAAATTCAGTCAAGATGAAAATGAGGATTAACTCTCATAGACATAATAATAATGCTATAATAAAAGACCTTGGACAGCTCTCTAAGGAAACATAGGAAGAAACAACTTTCTTCTACTGTACAGGAGGAACTGGGGTCAGAAGAGTAGAGAGTCCTTTATATCGCCCTGACCAAGGTTTAAACTTCGTAACTTTATTGTTTGATAACAGGGATGATGGCCTCATTACTAATCTGTACTATAGGAAAAAAAAAACTTGGAAAGTGTGACATACCAAAGCAGTTACAATGGGCCAGACGTGAAATGAAAAATGACTAACAGAACAATGAAAAGGGAGTCTGAACAAACTAGATGATTCAATGTCAGAATTATGGGAGAAAGCAGAGTTGACGACTTTATTCAAACATGAAATAAAAGGAGAATCAGTATGTTTGGGGGCAATTCATATAGTAAGCTCATTTTAGATAAGCTGAAATTTTGTTTGTAAGATTCACTGATAGGCAACACGACAGGGTCTCATTATGTAGCACTAGCTGGCCTGAAACTATATAGACAGACATGTCTCTGCTACCCAAGTGCTAGGATTAACGGAGTACGCCATCATGCCCCTCACAACTCAAAACTATTCCCTAATCATTCAAAAATCAATCTTCTCGGTGTTCCTCAGTACAAGTTCATCCACTGGACTCTAGTCAGTCTATCTAGAGTTTCTCCTTTAAAGATCAATGCTCCCTCACCTAGCAGTCTGGGTACACTGACTTGACTTGATAGGCCTTAACATTTATGAGAGAATGCATGAAATCTGGGTGTGGCTTTGTAGGGGTATGGGTGGGGGAGGGGATATAAAGATGATTAAGATGCTTTGTATGAAATGCACAAAAATTCAGTAAAAAATATACATTAAAAAATTGCTCTTCTCATTCCTTCCTATTAACTAATTTACTCAATAGTTTCTGTTTCCAATACTTTCTACATATCAAGGACCAATATAAATGCTGGCCATTCACACCAGAGAGCAACACAGACCCTGCTCATGAAGTTTACATTCTAGCTGCCTAACATGGGAAAGTGAAGAAAGAATCAAAGCTAAAATGTGGACACACAAAACATAATCCATGTGATTGCCCAGAGAAGCATCCAGTATGTAAAAACTTATTGCAGGACATGCTATAAAGGAAAAATAGGAGTGTTCCATTATTTGCAGGTTTGAGGTTTGAGGTATTGCTTATAATGAAATGTATAGGTGGCTAATTTTCTTATACTATTCTAATAATAATATCTAATAATCTAATCTTTCCAGAAAAGTAATAGAAACTAAAAGGTCACCACTTCAAATTGGATTTTATCCAAATTTTTAAATATTGAGAACATTCCCTTCCTTAGTTTCTTTTCTCCTTTTCCATAAGAAACAACCTCAGTGCAGCCAAGTTTGATAGTGACCTCTATTAAGCAACTATAGAATGCTATTTTATTGAAGGTAACTACATAGGTATATTTACCTACTCCTTGTGGTCTTGTACACAGGCCAATGAACTTCTTAGTTTCTAAAGACAAGTTTTATGAAGAAAAAGAGATCTGCTAAATACGGCAACATAAGTACATTCTATAAACGTCAAAATAAATTCCATTGAGATGAAAAGTTTTCCTTTAACTTCCTGATAAACATTAGTGCCTACTATTTTCAAGGCTATTTTTTTTCTCTTTTTTATTACTTATCCTTTTCTTAGTTTTCAATTCCTTAAAGTTATTATCAATAGCCTTATCTTCTAAATCAATGGTCATTACCTGGACTAAGGATTCTAAACAGAAACAAAAATGGTCCCTAAGGGACACTGAAAATCCATGAGGCCCTTCTGTGGTCAATTGAGATAAGAGGGAACTTACTTTGTGGGTGGTGGACTACTAATTACAGAGTCCCACCCAGTATAAGACCACCCAATACAACAACAAAGAATAGTCGGTAGTCTTTAGGGTTTAAAAGACCACTGAACATCAAGTACAGGAATAGCCAGTTTATGATTATCTTAGTCTAAAACTTTACTGTATGTCAATTATATCACCTTAGTCCTGCTTCAGTACAGACCGAATTTTCCATAATGTAATTACTATGTAAACTGAGGGGAAATTTTTATTTTTATTCAACAAGTTGCCTGAAATTGTTCACCTACTTAGAAAAAAACATTAAAAAATTAAATAAATTACAATGGGAGCCAGGTGTGGTAGCACACCTCTTTAATCTCAGCACTGGGGAGGCAGAGGCAGGCCGGTCTCCAGGAGCTGAGCTCAGATTGGTCTACAGAGGAAGTTCCAGGCTGGCTGGGACTCCCAAAAACCAAAACAAAACAAACAAAAACCAAAGAACAACAAATATCAATGGCCCTTACATATCTGAAGTGCCAATATCTGATAAAGTCAGACAAAAGGGCTAAAGTAAGTCCCCATTAAAAACCACACACACACACACACACCCCTTGATAGTTTGCATTCAGATGCCACACATATACAATGCTCCTTTGGACGGCTGCAGTAAGAAGCAACATGCTTACTTCATTATGTTGGCCAATGTAATCACGTCTAAGAACTCAAATTTAAACTGCCACAGGTTACTAAAGAAACATCTTTTCAAAGCCTTTATGTTTCAATTATATTATGTTGATTGATTAAAGTGTGACACGCCTTTAGTCTCAGCACAGAGGCAGGTGGATCTCGGTGAGTTCAAGGTCAGCCTTGTCTACTTAGTGAGTTGCAGGCCGGCTGGGGCTACAGGGAGACCCTGTCTCAAAAAGAAAACACAAAACAAAACAAAAAAACACTTTAATCTCATTTCAGGATTTCGAGATATCGCAGGAGGACTTTAAAATACTTATAAAAGGGGCACTGAGATGATTGGAGAATCGCACACAATTTGGCGCTCAGGAGGCTGGCTTCTAAAAAGACTACCCGAGACCCCCAATTCTATACACTCCTACAGATGTAACTCGGGCTGACTAGAGGGCTCAGACGCTAGAGGCGCTTGCCACCGAGCTGACGACCCGAGTTTGATCCCGGGACCCACAGTTGAAGCCGAGCAGACTCCCTTTTCCCAGCTCTGCGCCCTTGCGCCCTTCCGGACGACCCCGGCTGGGGCTCAGACGGCATCCCTGCCGTACCTCCTCTTCCTGGCTCGCTATTCCCTCCGTTTTTAACCACTTCCCATCGCGGACCCCCGGGCTCTAAGGCCCGGTCAGGCTGTGGGATTCCTCCCTGGCCCTGCGTGGGCCTGTTTTCTGGATACAGCCTCAGTGGTCCAGGCCGAGCACAGGGCAGCCCCGCAGTGGAAGCTGGGGTCCTGGGGTCGGGCGGAGCGGTGCAAGGGTGACAGAGCACTCGAAAGCCCCGGCTGGGCAGACCGTCCCCCACGCGGGACCGTGGCCGCCCGAAGACTCACCGCGGCGTGGTTGATGTCGGCATCTGGCCTCTGGGCGGAGGGAGGCAGGTATTCGGCGTAGCTCAGCCCCTCGCTGTAGGCTGCGCCACCGCCAGCAGCCATAATGAGGCGGTTCTGCGGACGCGCGACAGCGGCTACGATACGGCCCCGGGACCAAACTAGTGCGGGCCGGAGACCTTCGCGGACTGTGCCGACCAGGTGTGCTGGACCTATGGCCAGTGCTGGGTCTCCTAGGGCGAGGCAGGGTGTTCCACCCTCCACCATACCCACCTAGCACCTCGGAGCTTAGGGCGGGTTAGGTCTACTTGAGTTCCTCAAATTCCAGGCTAGCAGAGAATCCTGGGTCTTGCTGTGGTGTCTGGAAGAAGGGACATGCCTCAGGCTGCCTGACCCTCTCTGTGTGCGTCCCAGCCAGAAAAGAGTATCTACATGTAAAGAAATTACTGGGAAGAAACTTTTGAGCAAATAGGTCACACTCACTCGCCACAAATGATTTTGCCCTAATTTGAATATAATAGTTACTTTAGTATTCATTTTTAGGTAAAGTTTTTTGGAGCAAATATTAGCCAATAATTGAAGTCAACATGTTTTCTAAATCCCTGTACCAACTTGGTAGCTATTTTGCCCTTTATACGCATTGCAAAAGCAGTTTACAAGAAGTCTGTCTTTTTGTTGAGGCAGGGTCTCCCTGTAGCCCAAGTTGTCCTGGAACTGACTGTGTAGACAAGGCTGGCCTTGAATTCACAGAGATCTGCCTGCCTCTGCCTCCCAAGTGCTGGGACTAAAGGCGTGTGCCACCACGCCAAGGAAGAGTCTCCCAGTAACCCTAGCTGGTCTGGAACTTGCTTTGTAGACCAAACTGGCCTCCACCTCAAGAGATCCACCTGCCTCTGCCTCATGAGTGTGCCTGGCACCAAAGTCTTTTCTCTCTCTCTCTCTCTCTCTCTCTCTCTCTCTCTCTCTCTCTCTCTCTCTCTTTTTTCCTATTCCTGAGTTGAAAGTTTTAAGGATCAATCAATTTATTCTTGTAGTTGGTATTATTGACATGCCTAGAGCCTGGAGGAATGTACAATCGAGAAGAGAAGATTAGCTTGACAAATATATACCAGAGCATGAGCATCGTGGATTGGCTACATGAAGGGAGAAAGGACGAGGTCAGAGTGCTAAGGTGTATGTGCTCATTTTCTGTCTTGTGTCCCTAAACATGCCCATCAACTTCTCTAAATATCTTCTCATCGGTAGAACGAGAACAACATTTGGCCAATATTCTAACTCAGAAAAGTTGTAATGATAAAATAAAAAAAGAAAAGGAAAAGGAAATGGAAGCAAAAAACAACAGTGTTGGAGTTTATGGAAGGGAATAGCAACAGTCATCCCCAAAAGTTCCATGAGGCTCAGCCATTGAGATGGCCAGTAAAGAATGCACAAGTTTTTTTGTGTTTTTTGTTTGTTTGTTTTTAGTTGAATGAAGAAAGGGCCAGACATTTCATAGAAACAAACACAAAAAGCTGAAGATGGCATGTGGTAGTGGGTTTTAAATTTCCAAGATTCTTCAGAAAAATGATCTTGTTACAGAAATTATTATTATTTATTTATGTGTATGTAGGTGTGCAGGTGTGTGTGTGTGTGTGTGTGTGTGTGTGTGTGTGTGTGTGAGTGAGTGGAGGCCAGGAGAGGGCATTGGATCCCCTGGAGCAGCTAGAGTTACAGGTGGTTGTTAGTAACCTGACATGGGTGCTGGGAACTGAACTCTGGTCCTCTGGGAGAGCAGGAAGCATTCTTAACCACTAAGCCATATCTCCAGCCCCAGAAGTTATTTTTCATTAATCTAATCCACAGTCATAAAAGGCGGTTGTGAGCAAAACAAACGAATTGGGGCCTACAGATAATTTGTTAACCTATTTATTCAATAAATATTTATTGAGCATATGTTAGGTATTAAGCCCAGTACTGAAGCATTGGGCCTTTAGCATCAAGCACATAAATGAGGTCTTCAAGCCCTTGGAGTTTACAGTCTAAGGGAAGCTAATGGTGTATCCTAGCACCTGGATCCTGACAGTCACAAGCTGCTATCCTGGAGCAAATAAGCAATTAGACCAAGACCCAGGTGAACCAGTTCTTTTTAGAGCAGTGCACCTGCTCAAGGACTGGAGGGAAGCTTCCAAAACAGAAGCCAGGAAAAAAGGGAGTGAGGACAGCAAGGAAGAGGGTGGTCAGCAGGATTGCACCTCAGGCCAGACTCCAACATACTGAAAGTAGACTCCTGTCTGCTTAGACGTCACTGAACCCCCGTCCACTGCCGCCTCAGGAGTCTAGCTACAGAAGCAGCCAGTTTTAAAGAAAATCTCATCCCTGGTGACTACTTAGCCTCTAGTTCTTTAGTAGGCTCAACCTTACCAGCAAAGAAAGGATAAAAACAAGCGCAATGAAATCCTTTCCTCTCCCCTCAGGGTCTCTTCCTGATTTAGCTAAACTTACTTTTCTGGCTTCCTTAAGAATGAAGGGGAATGTGTTTTGTGAATCCCAAAAGAGAGAGAAAGGAGAGGTTGTATTAATTTTTTCTTTTTTTTTTTTTTTTTTGAGATAAGGGCTTATGTAGCCCTGGCTGGCATGAACTCATTATGTAGAACGGGCTGGCCTCAATCTCACAGAAATCTGTGTGCCTCTGCCTCCTGAGGGCAGTGATTAAAAATCTATGCTAGCATGCCTGGTGCAAATTTCCATTTTAAATATTTTTAATTTAGTGTTTTTATTTTATGTGGATGAGTATATTTCCTGCATGTACATAAGTGCACCTGTGTTTTGCAGTGCCTGTGAAAGTCAGCCAAGAGGAACTGGAGTTAAGGATGGTTGTTAGCTATCAAGTGGATGCTCAGAACTGAACCCTGTTCCTCTGCAAGAGCAGCCAATGCTTTTAACCACTGAGCCATCTCTCTAGCCCAAGACTTATGTTCTGAAGACTTGCCTCCCAGCTTGTGGATTCAATCCTGGAGAGATGATTGGCTCCCAAGGGCTCTGACCTAATCTTAATGAGTTAATCTACTGATACATTCACACATTCACTATTTGGTATTATTGGAAGATGTTGGAACCTTCCAGGGGTAAAGCCTACTTGGAAGAAGTAGGTCATTGGAGGGGTCCTTAGGGCTTATTGTCTTTTTCTTTTTTGACTTTGAGATGGTGTCTCACTATGTAGCTCTGGCTGGCCTGGAACTCACATCCACCACCTCTGCCTCCAGAGTGCTAGGATTAAAGGTATACACCACCAAGTTTGGCACAGGATTTATGTCTGTGTAGGGTCCCTCCCCTGCTTCCTCTCTGCTTTCTGACTGCCGTGAGCAGCCTCTTCCAACACAGGCTCCCACTTGTTCTTCCCCACCACAGGCTTATAGCAATGGTCCCAGCCCACCCTGAATGAAGCCTCTAAAAACATGAGCTAAAATAAATCCTTCCTCCTTTTAAATTGTTTTTCTCTCGCATTTGTTACGACAACAGTAAAAATAAACTGCCTGATACATAGTAAATTCTTCAAAGTGGTCTTACTATTTTCTTTATGTTACCTTTTTCACCTATTTATTTCCTTAGGCCTTTTCTTCTTACTGTCCCACCCCTCTCCAACATTGTGTTGACCCCCAAGGATGTTATCTTTGAAACTTTAAAATGTGATTAAGCATTAAATAATATATGTAAATAATACATGTGGGGGAGGTGCTGGGAAAATGAAATTAAATGCCTTTAAAATACTTCATAAAATCAAATTATTTAGCTGGTCACGGTAGTATATAGCTGTAATCCCAGCACTCAGATGGAGGCAAGATCAGAAATTCAAAACTAGCCTGAGACTCTTGAGGCCTTGTCTCGGAAAGAAGGAGAGAGAGAGAGAGGGAGAGAGACAGAGAGACAGAGACAGAGAGAGAGGAAAAGAAAACAGGATAGTGAGCCCATCTCAAAAAAACAAGGTTGAAAGCAATAGAGAAAAATATTTGACATCAACCTTTGGTGTCCACATGTACACACATAGATGCACAAACACACAGACACACACACACACACACACACACACACACACCACTGTTGGGGAACCCTGCTGTTAAGGTTAGTTCCTTTCTCAGCAGGGCTTCCTGCCTGACTTACCTGGAAAGTGCTCTCAAGCAGGGATGCTTGGCCTCATTTAAAACCTGACCTTTGGCATTGTTACCTGGAGTGAAAACTACCCCCAGGTTTTTTTCTATATGATAATTAGGCATTGCCCCATAGTCGGATGATAGGAGCCTACTGCCACATGTAAATAAAGCATTGGCTACTGCCTCCACACTATATTTTCCCTAACATCCCACTGAATAAACGGAGCTGTTTCACTGAGTCTGGAGCTGTTTGTATCACTGAACCTGCCTCCCCGGAAGGGCTTTCTTCCGTCAGTGCTCACTGGCCGTCCCTGATCCCGTTAGTCGCTTCTGCTCCCATTGTCCTCATGGACTGGTGGCCAATGACCCACGAGGAAAGGGAGAGACCCCACACCCCACGCTATTTAAAAGTGGTCAAAGACAGAAAAAAATTCAATTCAGAAATTGAATATGATTCTACATTCAATTTTTCCTTAACATATCTTGTTTCCTCTTCATTTTAAACAAAACAAATAAGAAATCCTAAAGGACCGATTATCATTGTGAGAGAATAAGAGAATCTGAGACCCACATTCACATAAAAGGCTTCCACCCTGCAGATAAACAGGGAACACATAGATGAATATAGGATATGTCTGTTGTAGAATTATAGTTTCACTGGGGTGGGAAGACTTTTATCAAAAAGAAAAAAAAATATCTAGGAGCAAGGGATGTGCTCACTTGGTAGAGTATTTGCCTAGCATGCATGAAGTCCTGGGTTTAATGCCCAGTACCACACAAGATGGGCATTATTGTGCACACCCATGATCCTAGTAGCACTCACAAGCAGGCGTTCACAGTCTTTTCAGCTACATAGCAACTTTGAGGTCAGCCTGGGCTATATGAGAGCCTGTCTCAAACAAAAGGAAAGGAAAAAAAAATGTCAAAAAAATGTTTCTTAGAGGAGACAAAATAAAATTGAGAAGGTGATTTATGTGTGATATTAAAAATTATGTGTAAAATATGTATCATGACTATTGTGATCCCATATATAATTGATTTTTTTTTTCAGTTTACCCATAAACCCTTATCCTGGTCAGGTAGGCAGAGGGACTGTACTATGTGACATTCTGTAACACAAAGGAGAAGGGGTGCAGGATGTCTAAGGGAGGGTGCAAAAAACTAGAACTGAAGTTAAAA